TCATAATTTTCCGTATGAAAATTTAATGTAATATTATGAAATATAAGGAAAATCAAAATATACAGCTGAAAAATAATAAAAGTTTTTAAATAATTATCATTATAAAATTTAGTGAATTAAACTGAAAACTGTCACTTTTTAATGAAAAATTGCTGAAATATTTATGAAATTAATTAATGGAGTCAATTGAGAGAAATTTTCAAATACATTTCAGCAAAATTTCGTTAAATTTTCAGAAAAATTTTTACATTAGGATAGCTTTGAATTATTTTTAGTAAACAAAGATTTATTTAAAGTAACAAGAAGGAAACATAACCTAAAAATACTGATCAAGAAATTATGAAAACAGAATAATTTCTGCACAATTCACATTTTTTTGTCTTGAAATATATAATATAAACCACCTATTTTTTAAAACACTTTTTATTTTTCTCAAATTCATGTTTCCGTAGAAGACACCAGAACTAATTATTATAACCATCTTATAAATAAAATATTCAATTTTTTTTCCTTTTTTTCACTTACAAGTGATATTTGTGTCGGGTCCTTCTGGATGTTGCCACGAGGCTTGCTTCACTGGTAACCACCAAGGAGCTTGTGCAACAACCTTGTCGATCTTGTCTTTTGTATTTTGTGTTAAGAGATCTTCAAAAACGAAGGAATCTCCAAAGTTTTCTGCTTCTGTCGTGTACCCGGTAGCGCTTACAAAAGCTGCAAATTCTTCATTACTCACTTCAAATTTGTCTATATAAAAACTATCTAATACTATTTCGCGTTTTGGACCTTCTCCGTCCGCTACAAAAACTGGATTATTCGTTCCTATGAAATATGTACCGGTATCAATTTTGATCATTTTCTTTATGTTTTCCTTGTTTACGTCAACCGCGCTAAATTTCGAGTTATCCATGGCACAGTATCCTTCCTTACGAGGATTGAAAAGTGCTTGTCGATTTAGTCTGTTGCCACAGTGACAGCTGTTATTATCCTTCACGGCGTTTACACATAAATAATAATAACCGATTATCACTTGTATTTTATAGAAATAATTCAAGGAAATCATTTTTGTAGGATGAAATTTTCACAGATCTATTCTTTAAATTATTCGATATTAATATGATTACATGGTCCACGTCGCAAATTCGGCAAACATTGATAGAAAGTAAACAGTTGTCATATTTCCTGTGTGTGTGTGTGTTGACATTTTTATTATATTCATATATATCAAACCTTTTAGATCACATCAAGTCTGTACAAAACTACGTATTTGATATCAACATTGCATGAAATTCTTTACATACAGACCATGTGAAATTAGCGCCTCTGTTGGAATAGAAGGAAAACACGGAATCGTATAAGCATATTTCAGTCACGGGTATAGAGTGAAATCAAATGATACAGAAAAGAGCTGCGGAACGGAGAGTGCGTCATGTGAGAG